TCCAAACCACTGTCCCTCAGATGGACATGTCCAAACCACTGTCCCTCCTCTGGACATGTCCAAACCATCTCAGTGTGTCCTCTCTAATTTCATCTCCCAGTTGTTCAACCTGTGCTGTACCTCTGATGATCTCATTCCTGATCTTCTCCATCCTTGTCTCTCCTCAGGAGAACCTCAACATCTTCATTTCTGCCACTTCCAGTTCTGTCTCCTGTCTTTTTGTCCATGTCTCTGTCTCCAGACCATACAACATAGCTGGTCTCACCACTGTCTTGTAAACTTTTCCTTTGACCTTTGCTGACACTCTTTTGTCACAAATCACTCCTGAGATGTTTCTCCATCCACTCCATCCTGCCTGGACTCTCTTCTTCACCTCTTTACCACACTCCTCATGTTCCCGGACAGTGGACCCCAAGTCCTTGAAGTCCTGCACCTTTGTGACCTCTGCTCCTTGTAGCCTCACTGTTCCACCTCCTTCCTCTCATTCACACACAGGTATTACTGTTAGTATTACACATGTAATACTGTGTATTACTCTTTTTGCACTGTTTAACATATTTCTTAGTTCATATCTTAGATCTTATTACGGTTTTTCTTTTACTTTGTAATACTTTTGTTGGATGTAACTGGGACCCTGTGTACACAACTTCGTTCCACCTCATGTGTCACATGTGATGCGCATGACAAAGAACCTTGACCTTGATATACTCTGTTTTACTACGTCTGACCTTCATTCCTCTTGTTTCAAGTGCATACCTCCACAAGTTCTCTTAAATATTTTAAATAGACAATCTTTGCATTTTAGTTGTTTCAAACTAAGCGTTTGTGTCACGGTTGCCTTCAAACTTTTCTTCAGCCATTCAGTCTTTTTAACGAGAGGAAATAGGCCGCTGTTTGATATGGTTGTGTGCACGACAATGAATGAACACGAAGCAGAGAAATCAAAAGCGAAGGTAAGAAAGAAGCTCGGAAAATTATAGATACTCATGCTAACAAAAGCCTGCAAGACCATCTCCAAGCAGCTTCATCTTTCTCCAACAACAGCTGGCGATCATTTTAAACTATAACATTTATGAAAATGCAATTCTCCTGCCAGGACAGGGATGCAAGAAGAAATGCAACCCCAGGGTGATCAAACAAAATGTGTGGATGATAGAAAAAGTGCCAATGAACCCATTCTGTATCATTCAAGGTGAACTCAAAGGTCAAAATTCATAATTTTCTAAATGCAGCATCCATCACATTTTGAATAAAATTGGATTCTATGGCTGAAGATTGAAAAAGACTCCACTCGTGACAGAAACATGCACAAAATCCAGAGTCATGTTGACAAAATGCACGCTGACAAGCCCAAATTGATCTGGGAGCGGTTTCAGGGATGGATGGGACAAAACTGGAGCCGTCTATCCAGGCACATCAGAAGAGTAGCAACACATTTACCTCATTATTTGATGGGGATGGATATCAGCTACTACCACACTAGATTTGAACTCAATATCTGTCAAATGTAGTGAGCAATAAGCATTTTAAGTTAACTAACCGGTGGAAAGAAATCCCTGTTCATAAACCATTTGAGCATTTTCTAAATAAAATCCAAACAACGCAGACGTAATTCGACCTAATGTTGTGAAAAATAGCACTTCCTCCCCAAGCGTCAACAAATACGCTTCGACTTTTATGTTCACAGAATCACTAAAAATGAGCCGTTTCCAAGTTTGTTACAGGAAGCAGCAGGAGCACCTGAGCTTCACCTGGTCCAACAGACGTTTTGGGTATGTTGTGGAATGTGAACATTCAAACGTGTGTACTCACGTCTGCGACGCCGGCCTCCAGGATGGTGACTTTGGCCTCCGTCTCCAACGCTGCTTTCTGCTTCACTACAATGAAAACACAAACACACAAATCAGTTTTCCCAAGGTCGTAATGTTTTACACCAAACCTTCTCAGCATGTGGCAATAATTCAACCAATTTCATGGGAAGGCAAAAAAATTAACCATAGATTCAAAACTAAAGACGCTTTATTGTCATTCTAAGTAATTACACGAGGAACAAAATAAATAAATAAATCAGGATCTGAGGTCCCAGTTATCAGCAACAGCAGAAATATATTTAATTAGGAAGCTCTAGAGAAAGCTGAATGAGAATGACGTTCTCCTCACATCATTACTCAACGCAAAAAGATGAAGGCCGCCCGTGTCTGTTAGCACAATACCTCATGTCATAAAAACTACAACTGAATAACCTTTTGGGTCACAGCAATTTAAGATGGCTGCTGCAGCCAAATGACCAGAAAAAAAACATTAAAATGGCTATAAATCAGTCCGTTTTACAGAAATTGGCTTAATCTTGGTGTGGTAGTTACTGAGACTCATCCGTAACACATACTCTGAAGTTTGCACACGGCACAAAATATGAATCTAAAACTTTTGACCTCAACGTTGATGTCCACCCTGTTTGTGTTTCAAATACCTCCTGAACTAATTATTGAACATTAGCCAATAAAAAGGTTATAAATCAGTGAGTTTTACAGATGTTGGGCTAAAAAGTTTGACGTGGCGGTTGATGAGAGTCATTCACAAAACAACTCCAACGTTTCTCAACACAACAGAATCTTAAACTGTGGCACATAATGTGTGAATGTAAGGAATGAAAGACAATTGAATCTTGTTCTTTCTCCTCTCCGGTGTCTCTAGTTGCCGTGTGCTGCAGCAGAACTGTAGAATAAAACCTACAGGGTTTGAGGAGACGTTTTAAAGGTGGTGATGTCACTGCGGTTATCATGTGAACGTTCCCTAAACACATTTGCAGAATTAGGCCAAGAACATTTCCACGGGGCTCAACAAAGCATCCTACCATTCAAGCTCTAAGTGAGCTATTACTGTTGCTTATCTTCACTTTATGAAATAAGAGTTTTTAACCTGACCTGCCGCCGGGCAAATATTAAAACACATTTCCACACAAATACAATTAAACCCTGCACACATTTCGCTCATTTTCTCCCCCCCCCCCATCTGCACAAAGAGAAACAAACGTAGGGCTTAAATTGAAAATTCATGGCAGGGAACATATTAAAACCAGAACAAAATGTTATGAAAAAAAAAGAAAGCATACATAATTACATTCACTTTGCTTTGCATCTGAATACAGCGGTGGACAGAGCGAATCTTCTTTGTTGACACACCAGCAGATGAAGGATATGCAAATAGCAAGTCTTGATGCTGTCATGCTCCTCCAAGGAGCTTTAATAATTAGTCTTTCAATCTGTCAGAGCATAATTCAACGGACACTTTATGCAACGTGTGGGGAGACTATAGATCTTGACTTTGAAACTGAACTGGCTCAAAAAAAAAAAAAAATTTTTTTTTTTTTTTAAACGAGGATTGAAATATATAATTTAATAGCAACAGCACTTTATTTTCAACATACAAAGCCCTCAACAACCTAGCTCCATCTTATATTACAGATCTTACCGTTTTGTATTTTCCTAACAGAGAACTTCTCAGGCTGCAGGTTTACTTGTGGTTCCTAGAGTTTCCAAAAGCAGAATGGGAGGAAGATCCTTCAGTTCTCAGGCTCCTCTCTTGTGGAACCAACTTCCAGTTTCTGTCCGTGAGGCGGACACATGGTCCAGTTTTAAGACTTTCCTTTTTGATAAATCCTATAGTTAGTGTCGGCTTAGTTTCCCGACCTGTCCCTTATCCTATGCTGCTATAGGCTTAGACTGCTGGAGGACAAATTGATCTCAAGTCATCAAATGAATAGTTTGTATTTGTAATTATTTCTATCTTAACATGTATTTTTTTTTTGTTTTTGTTTGTCTTTCCTCCCAGAGAGGGACCTGCTCGCCTCCATTCCGGACCTGCCATTGTGTATCCGTTCCTTCTTCCTGTCCTCTCAAACCCCGGCCAGTCGAAGCAGATGGCCGCTTGTCCTGAGCCTGATTCTGCTGGAGGTTTCTTGCTCATGAGGGAGTTTTTCCTTTCCACTGTCGCCTTGCGACAAATGCAGACTCATTGCTGTATATGCTGCGGGCTACCCTGCCTTAGATAAACAATGTTGCTAATTTAATTTTTATGTATATGAATGTTTCTGTTCAGTGCCCTGAGATAACTTCTGTTGTGACTCGGTGCTTTATACTGTAAATAAACTGAGCTGAATTTAATTTCTCATTAGGAGTAAGCATGTTGTAGTAAATGTACAGGTCAAATAGTCTTTAGAATGAAAATACGAAAATATATTAAATATATTAATAAATGTTTTTTAAGAACTGAACTGTGGCTTTCTTACACTGCAGTAAAACCACAGGTGAAGTGGTGGAGTCCAGGCCTCAGACAGAGACGCGTGAACACCTTGTCTGTGATATCCATGTAGTCTGACATGTCTTAATAGTGCTGCCAGTCGGAGACGTCTGCAGACTCCCTCCAAAGAGAAACAGAGACTGAAGAGGCTGAATTGACCTGTCAGGATGAGATCTTCCTCTCCATGGGGGATCACCTGAATAAACTTCTTGTTCAGTGTAACAAGATGGACAGATCTCAGCTGCTTTTAGTTTGGGTTCTGCAGATTCATTCTTCTCGTGTGTTACTGTCATCTGTTGTTGGAGCACAAAAAGGAGCTGTGGATTAACAATAATGTGCTTGAAAAGCTTACACAGAGAAGTGAAGCAACCAGACATTAAAAAAATCACTTTTTTGGCAATAGTTAGAACAGGTTTTGCCTAGACACTTTTTTTTTTATTTTTATTGTGTGTTTATACTGTGCTCCTAAATAGTGCGATATCATTCAAAGTTTATAATCTATTCTCTTAATTTGTATGCAGAAAAAGATCACGGTTTTAGTCCAAAGCCAATTAGTAAAGTTCTCTATCTAAGGAATCCAGCAGACAAGTTGAATCTTGGCTTCGTTGCAGTCTCCCATCCTGAGCAAGCACAGTGGAGACAGTGGAAAGGAAAAACTCCCTTTTTAACAGGAAGAAACCTCCAGCAGAACCAGCTCAGGACAAGCGGACATCTGCTTTGACCGGCTGGTTGAGAGGAGAGGAAGGAGAGACAGACGAACACAGAATGCTAGGTCCAGGTAGAGGTCCAGGTGTATCTGAAAGACAAAAAACACGTTATAAGGATAGAAAAAATAATTTCAAATACAAAACAGGTTGAGTCCTCCAGCAGTCTAAGCCTATAGCAGCATAACTAAGGGACAGCTCAGGAAACCCTAGGTAACTATAGGATTTATCAAAAAGGAAAGTCTTAAGCCCAGTCTTAAAACTGGACAATGTGTCAGCCTCACGGACAGAAACTGGAAGTTGGTTCCACAAGAGAGGAGCCTGAGAACTAAAAGATCTGCCTCCCATTCTTTTTTTGTAAACTCTAGGAACCACAAGTAAACCTGCAGTCTGACAGCGAAGTGCTCTGTTAGGAAAATATGAAACAATAAGATCTGTAATATAAGATGGAGCTAGGTTGTTGAGGGCTTTGTAGGTTAGAAGTAAGATTTTGAATTTAATTCTGGATTTTACAGGGAGCCAGTGGAGAGAAGCTAAAACTGGAGAGAGATGATCTCTCCCAGTAACTCCAGTTAAGACTCTGGCAGCAGCATTTTGGATCAACTGAAGACTTTTTAAAGACGTATTTGGACACCCAGATAATAAACCATTGCAATATAACAAATGCATGGACCAGTTTTTCTGCATCATTTTTAGAAAAGATGTTTCTAATGTTAGTGATATTACGCAGGTGGAAGAAGGCAGTTCTATATAGTTGTATATATTTTAAGTGTACAACAAAAAGAAAAATTGCAATCAATAGGCATCACCCACTTTGTCTTACTGCTGGGCGTACAACATGTTTTTGAATCGGTACACCGAGGGATTTGAATAGTGAACGTTTGTAGTGTTCGAAACAAGTTTCACAAGTTTGTCTGGACTGGAACTGAACAGAGAAGACAAACAAACAATGTTTTAGCTGCAAGATATTCAAGTGAGTAGGAGTTGCACTGTGTAGAAGAACAGAGGTAGTTTTTCAACAGGTGCAGTGGTGGAGCCAGGGGGTGGTCAAAGGTGGCCTTGGCCATCGTTGATTAATCTTCAACCACTCCATTCATTTAATGAAACTACTTTAAGACAATATAAAAACTAGAAAGAATAGTTTCTTCAAGGGGAGAGTGGTGGCACAGAGGTTAAAGAAGGTGGTGGGTCTCTGACCGAAAAGCTGCCGGGGACAAAAATGTGGTGCAAATACTCGAGTTTCCACCTCCACTTTAGAAAATGGGGGAACGGCGTCTCCACCTGCTCCATTAAGCAGGCACCTGTTTGTTAAAATTACTGTTTTTACTCATAAAAGAACATGAATTGTTAGTTTTACTTACAGTAAATAAACCTTTTAAACTGTAGCCATGGCTCCTTCTCCAGGTTAACCATTGCAACTTCTATTATTTTTTATTTCAAACTGTACCAGACAAGGGTGCACAGAGGATGGATCCAGTTTAGCTCTTTAAAGGTGATGAACACTTTGCTTTAATGTTGCGTTTTTGTCTGGTCTCTTTCTCTCTCACCAAAAACAACAGGAATCCTGTGAAATGGATCGTGTCTACCTGCCATTAAAGAAATAAGTTTGTGGCAAAACGGTTTAAAAACCAACAGATATTTGAACGTCATTTATGCTTCATAATTCTGCAATGAGATGGTGATTTCAAGCTGCGGGCTGTTTTCTTCTCCAGATATCAAATTTGGATCTGAAAAGACTCATTCTGGAGAAAATGGGAAGAGCAGTTTGGGAGTTTCCAGCCTTTTGAGCACATTTTTTATTCATACACCCGATAACCTTTTATTTGTCTTTCTGAGGTTAATGTCATTTCTCATCGATAGCTCCAGAGTCCAAT